GAATTAACTGTTTCACGTTTGCTGTGAGTTTACTTTGTGTACGGTGCCAACACATCTGCAAAACGACACTAAGCTAACCTCCTAAATCTTCTGAGGAACAAACTTGCCATGCATAGGTGCAACACCTCACACAATGCAATGCAGAGCTTCACCAATGCCTCTAGGCAATAATACAGTAAAATTAATTAGTAAAAACAACAGTAAATTATAAATTCACAGCATCTGTATTTGCAGGGCAATGGAGAATATGTATTTGGGCTGGCATACTTTTGTTACCCAGTTTCCAACTGACTGTCCGTGGTCTGATTTGTCAGATAAATTGTGTTCAATGTGGTCATAGTTTCTGTGAGCTTAAAAAATGTGTCTTTTTATGCTCCTGCAAAAACCATATTGAGAAACAGGAAAAAATAAATGAAGGCATCTTACAGTGGAAGTTACAGCTGTCATCTCTGAGGTGTTCAGGACTATCATGTAAAACCATATCAGACTTTTTTTTGGAAGCTTCAAGTGAAACAGAGAATATACCTTTTGGAACATTTTTTTTTTTACTGCACTACTATTGTAAAGCCCCCTCTGCTTTGGCTTCTACTCTGTGGAAGATGTACATCATATAGAGAACTATAATATTTTTATGGCACACTTCTTTCTCTTATTTAACTTTTTGGCTTTAACTGAGAAAAAGCCCCAAGCAAATGAATTTCTAACAACAGAAACTCTCACCATTCAATGAATTGTGCTCTGATTCTATTCTGAAGGCTGGCTCTAAGAGGAGGATTACTAGTTTATCTCTGTTACTTCAAAAAACAGATCTGTTCGATTACCCAAATGTTTGGTTTTAAAAAGAGCAGCTCCTGGGGATCTTAAAGAAATCCACAGTGCAACAGGGAAGGAATATAATAGACTGTTTTGGAAAAAAATACAATGAGGGGAAAACATAACATACAATACATTTGGTGTGAACTTTTCCCAGAAGATTGCTTGAGCCTCATAGTTCACTTACAACCAAAGTACAGCGAGGCTGGGCAGCCTGCCAGTTCTTGTTATTGTAGTACTGTGTGAGCCAGTTCCCTGGTGGAGAAAGAAAAAGAGAGAGAGAGGGAGGGAGAGAGAGTTTTCTTTGCCTTTCATAAGTGTCCCATACTTTCCTCTCTGCTCTCTCTGAACACCCAACCACTGTTTACACCGGGGTGCTCAGGTGCGTGCTACACTGTGCAGATGTCGCGCTGCTCATGTCGCATGCGGCACTGCCACAGTTCAAGAGGGCTGACGCAGGGCTGCAGCGCCTCGCTGCACTGGGGCTCTCAGATGACAGCTCTGCCTGACACTCCAACAGCAAGGCACCCTGTGATATGCGTAGTGAGGAGGAGTAACACCTTGTCCTCACAGCAGAAGTATCTGGGAAGGGAGGCATTCCTAGGAGTGGGTGCCAGGCTAAGTTGCATGTCTACACTGAATTTTGCAGTCAGATGTGAGCCAGGATAGCTTGGGCTTAATACCATGCTACAGATGCCAGTGAGGCATCTCTGAGTTGCTCAGAGCACTGGCAGACCTCCTTTGTGTCAGCGTAAAAAACAGCACACAGACACAGATGAGTTAAAGGCTCACAGTCTGGCCCTGAATGTACAGCAAAACTGAGTAGGGATGAAAGAGGCCTCCCACGTTCTTGCATCTATATTCTACCTGGAAAATCATCCAAGAACATTTCAAAATCAGCAAACATGGCATGGGGTTGTTTTTATTCCACCCCTCCACATCCACACACCTCCTCTTCATGCTGATATGCTGCCTTGAACCCTGAAACTACAGCACTCTCTGGGCAGCACTTACACAGCCTCTATCAGAAGCATGCTGGGCTCCCAAATGTGATAAGAAGCTGATAAAAATTATCTGGGCGTTAAAACAGCCTTAGTGGAAGAATGTTTAGCTAAATAGATACCATCTGTCCCTTACAGAGAGCACGTCCTTGTTCTGCCCTGGCCTGACCACTGTGAGCTATTGCTTTTGTGGTGCAGTCCATGTGTGAACGGGCTGTTGTTCCCAGGACCTGGGGCAACTGTTTATGCAATGTGGACTTTATGAGAAACAGTTACAGTTGAAGAGATTTTTTTAATTTTTTTTTTTTAAGAGTTAAAGATTGGTAATGAAAACAACATTTTCTCCTAATACAGAAAAGTACTGGACTGGATCAGCTCAGCTGAATGCTCATATTGGCCTGTACAGCTCATTTCTCTGGGGTAGCCAAAGAGGGAAGGAATCCTGAAGAACTATAAGCAGCACTCCAATTACCAAGAGAACTTTCATGTCAGTAACAAACAGTGCAAATATTTTCCAAGGGACACTAGCAGCTGGCACACAGCACTGACTACAGCTTTTTAATGTGTTTTCTTTACCTCCTCATGACATAGCAGAACAGAGCATGGATAGACTGGCACTACAGATGGCTCATTGAGCCGCTGTGTAAATACATAGGAAAAAGGTTAAAGACAAGAATCAGAGGGTAATTTTCTCTGAGAATGACTGAGGAAAACTTTGGGATTTGTAGGACTAAGGAGAGGGTACAGTCTACCTAGAGGAAAATCCAGCAGAGCATAAGAGTCACAAGTACAGAACTATTATCATACTTCCCCAGACAGAGACAGGTGGTGAGATCTGCAGTGGGCAGTCACACCATCCAATTCCAACTATATCATAAAAATCCAAATGTCTATCGTGGGTGATATTGAGAGGTCAGGCTGGCTCAGCTACCTCACTGGGTCACCTAAAGGTAGACAGACCAATGTCCCATGAGAGATGCCAGAGTCCTGAGGGCACTAATGATCCTTAATGCTCATGATCAGCCTAACTTGTGGCATCCATTCACACCTCTTCCCAGGGGCCCAAGAGCCCCATATCAGCTCAGGCCTGGGCCTCCATCTTTGAGCTGTGTTGTTGGTAGAGTGGAATGGAAGAGTAGTGATGGAAGGGACACACAGTGATCATTGATTCCAACTGCCTGACCACTTCAGGGCTGACCAAAAGTCAAAATATTCTACTAGGGGAACTGTCCAAATGCCTCTTAAACAGTGACAGGCTCAAGGCATCGACCATCTCTCTAGAAAGGCTGTTCCAGGGTTTGACCATCCTCTTGGTAAATAACTGCTCATAATGTCAAGTCCAAACTTGCCCTGATGCAGCTTTACACCATTCCCACATGTCCTGACCCTAGATCCCAGGGCGAAGAGCTCAGCACCTCCATCTACACTTCCCCTCCTCAGGAAGCTGTAGGGAGCAGTGAGGCTGCCCCTCAAACTCCTTCTCTCAAAACTAGACAAGCACAGAGTCCTCAGCCACTCCTCACAGGATATGACTTTCAGCCCCTTCTCCAGCTGTGGTGCCTCCTCTGGGCACATTCAAGGAGCTTCAAACTTGTCTGACATTGTGGGGCTCAGAACTGCACACAGTGCTCAAGGTGAGGCCACACCAATGCTAAATACAGTAGGAAACAAAGAGGTGTGCCTGTGTCTAACGCTGACCCTGGAGCTTTCTCTGATCCATGCAGACCTCAGACCCATGCTGAAGGTGGCTTGTTTTCTGGATGACTCTCTGATACCATGAAGGATGATTTGTGGGGTTTTTTCACTCCTATTCCTGGTCCTGTTTAACAGGTTGTTATGGCCAAAGTGCAGGACGTGGCATTCTCCTTGATGAACCTCATAAAATTGGCCTTGGCCTGTTGATCCAGCTTGGCCACATCCCTGCTTATGGTTAAAATCTCACATAGCACCTCACCATCACAGCTGCTGTGGGGGTCAGTGATGGTGTTTCTCAGAGCAAAAGATTTGCTAAATGGGGCAGGCAGGCTCCAGGGAACTGGTTGCTCCTGTTCATCAGCAATGGATTTTGAGCTTTAATTGCCTGAAGATGCTGAGAAGCAGGATGACTGATATAAAAAAAAATTGGGATCTCAGGAAAAGGGACAAGGCTTCTTTCATTTCCTCTGCTTTAACATCTGCAGAGGAAAGAAGATCCCATGGAGTCACAAGAAGAGGGCATTGGCTCTGCAGAGGATTATGAAGGCTTTTGATGATTTACTTGGAAAGCTTTATTGATGGTGTTGTTTGATAGTGAGGCCGCTGTGCAAGCCTGCATTCCTTTTTCTCTTAATTACTTTTGATTCAAAAGTGAATCTATCACCCTGGAGGTGTGTAGCCTTGAGTGGTCTCTTCAGGCATGAGCCATCTCAGCAGTGCTTTTAAAGCCCGGAGCAGGAGGATTGCAGAGGCATCTCTTCAAGGGAAGAGCAGTCAGAAAAAGAATCTTCACATACAAACCACTCTGTGATCCTGAAGTTAGAAACACTTCAAAGGTCAGACACAGCCCCAGCTGCACTGGGAATATGAGAGATTCCTATTCAGACCAATTCCACTGACAAATAAGACCAAAGAATCTATGCAAAGATTTATGGTGGTTATAAATGTGTAGAACTCTTATATTTTGGAAGAATGTTGAAAAATGGAAAGGAACTTCTGTAGCTCTGAATCAGGTATTTCTGATGGAAGAGGTGCAAGAAGAAAATGCAGAATCCAAGTTCTTGGAATATTTTGTTTGAATATTTTGTATTTTGATTTTTCTTTTCCACCTTCATAACAGGAGATGACCTGTGCAAATTGCATCCAAGTGCCCAGTGATTGACCTACAAAGGGGTGCAATGTTTAGAAAAGTGGGTCCCTGAAAGCTGTTTCATTTCTGTGGCTACTTAAGTAAAAAGTCCAGCAGGGCTCTGCTGAGGACAGGTGCCTGTCAAAGTGACATCCCTCTGATCAGTCTGGAGAACTGCAGCACAGCACTAACAGGCTGTGCTTCACAGAGAGCATGTATAGCAGTGATATTATTCAGAATAGTACTTTGACCAAAGTAATCTTTTGATTAAAGCTCAAAAATCCAGGTCTTGGGATGAAGTGCAGAAGCTGAAGCCTACTAGCCGGTTGACTGTTCATACAAGATACTCTTCGAATGTTCATAGCTATAGTCAGAGGACAGCCAGATAAGAGGTAAAATTCAGTTCTGTTATTTGACATTTTCAGTATCAGACACTAGTGAGCACATTTCTTTCTGTTGTGGAGGGTAAAATGAAACTGCTCTTTGATGGGTGTCTCAGCTCACCCTTTACGAGCTGGGTAAAAAGGCTGATCGTAGGACCTGATCTATTTCCATTGCATGTGTTACGCAGATTTCCTTAAAAAGGAATCTTCTGCCTTAGCTAGGAAGATAAATAATGAGAAAACATCTGCTCTTTAAGCTCTGGACTGACCTATAAATCTTAATGACGTATGCAATCCCAGAAGCAGAAATCATCTACAGATTGCAAAATTCTCTCATTTTCTCATTTGGGTTATTTTATTCTGTTTGCTGGGGGGGGGGGGGGGGGGTTGGGGTTTATTTTTTTTTTTTAAGCAATTTTATTATTGTTCCTCTAATTCCTGGTAATTTGGAAGCCTGAGTGTGGGTTTTTTCCTCTCAGTGTGTCATTATAACTGATAGGAGCTGGTGAGAGGAGGGCATGGCAACCATAATAACACAAGAGGGGTGGAACAGGCAGCCCTTACAAGGAGCTGACAGCCAGAGAATAATGACAGAGTAGAGCATGGATAACTAATAGTTTGGATGATTTACTCTTGAGAAGCTCTGGAGGGTGGGATGCTTCTTTGCCTTTTTATTTCAACCTCTCATGCTGAAGAAATGAGTTTGCTTAGCTACTTTAATATTTTGCTGCATTTTCTCCTACCAGGGAAAGGGAATCTGCTTCTCTCTTCAATACTTCCCTGTGGCCTGCCTCACAAAGACAACATTGCTGTTAATAATGACAAGAGGTTTCTATCTCCTTTTGCCTCTAGAGCTGCAACAGCAGCAAGCATTTAAAACAATGGTATCAGTGATGACCATAAAATTAAAGAGGCCAGAATTCAAACTGCTGTGGAGAATGTCAGGTTCAGTATTCAGAGGAGAATTTAGTGTGGGGTATGGCTCACCTGCAGCATGAGCTAAGATAAGGAAACTTCTGACTCGATGATCCTTGTGGGTCTCCTTCAGCTCAGAAAATTCCATTATTCTGTTCTTGAATTGCCCTGAGATGCTGGAAAGAAGTGGAGAGCCTCTCATATAGCAAGTCAGTCTGATACCTCCTTGCTTCCTGCAAGGTCAGGCTAATTTTATTCTCCATTTCGTATTGCTTTAATCTAAACATTGGAAGAGGCAATGTTAGGGTAAAAGTCTCAGGAGACTGTGAGCAGCATATGGACCATTTCTCTTGATAAATCATAGAACCATCTGCATGCAAGTGGGCAGGGATGGAGTAATTCTTCTCCTGAAGCTGTTAATATGTGCTCACTTCTCATGAGTCAGTATCCTTGGTCTGTAATTTCACAAACAGTTTTGAGAGGGTAAGATGCCTACAGAAATCATTCACTTACCTGTCCCAGATTGGGACAGGTTGGACAAGTAAGGTGGGCCAGAAACTCAACCATCTTCTGGGAGTGGTGCTCCCAGGGCGGAAATCACCCTATTCCGAATTGCACTAGAGAGGCATGACTTCAATTCTGGAATGGCAAGGCACACAAGCACACTAAAAGTAAGATAGTGTTTTATAGCTCAAACAGCAATTCAGGGAGCAAGAGCTAAAATTAAACACATGGCGATGCTCTGTTTTGTTGTTTCCTGTGCCCTGAATACCATCTGCTTGAAAATCAGGTGAACCAAAGTGTTATTCTGAAGGGCTGCTCTTATTAGATTGATATTTTCTTTAGGTAGAGCAAAGAATCTTGTCTAAAAGAGGACATATTTAGGAACCTAATCAGTAAATGTAGAAGAGACTGCAAACCGATCAGTGATCAGAGGAGGGGGAATGGGTTTGACTGACATCTGGAGTAAAGCAGTGCTGTGCTCTTTCAATTACAAGTTTAAGACTGCCACAATTGACAGATTAAAGGTGTTCACCCTAATCCAAAATTATACTTTCCCCAGTCAAATTGACCATTGTGTCAGCTTCAATTTGTTCAGATACGTCACCCACAGAGAGTGATTGGACTGATTCACTTGCACACTCTTTGACAAGGTCCCTGTTTTGTGTTCACTCCTTACTCTTGCTATTTCCCTTGTCAGACAGATACTCCAGAGGCATTTCCATTATCTCCCATGTAGCTGTACCTCAGAAATGTACTGGACTGGAAAGAAAAATCCTCAGGCCAATTATTCTGACATAAACTCTACTTATCAGAAAGCACTAGAATATGAAGCATAAGTTAAAATAGCTCAAAAATAGGACACATCCATACACACATACACCCCAGGCAGACACCTAAGTAATGCTGTGCTCAGCCTCTGCCGTGACTGAGTATGGATGAGCACTTTTAAATAAGAAACAACAAAAATGTTGCTTCAACATTCAGATCAAAACAGTCTCTCTGAGAATGGAAGTGCTTTAATTTAAAACAGAAGCAAGGAATTGTTTTCAGGGACCTGCTCTGTTTTTGGTTTTTTTCTGTTAGAAGCTGAAATGCCCCTAATGCTTGGCGAACAGTTACCCTGTAATCTTCCTGACTCTTTGAAAAAGGAAGAAAAACAATGCATACAAAACCTTGCTGATGCTGATTCTCCTTGAGTGAGGAAACAGGTAAGAAGAGATGAGTTGCATTTCTTTCCCACAAGCTGGAGGGAAAAGAGATAAGCACAGAGATGTGAAGTGGCATTCAGTTCATGAGTTTTACCTTTAGCCACATTCATCAGGTGGGCTCTCCCTTCCTGGCCAGACTGAAAGCATGTCACATTCTCCTGCAGAACTTTCACATGAGGATGTTTGGGAGAGCTCTTAGTGGTGCAACTCACTTGAGTCTTATTTTGAGGTGAGGTAGATGCTTGTATAAATAATGTCATTGTCCTCTCATACTCTTTTGCATCCCTGCTAGTGTTTTGCTTTTGTTGGTTGTGGCTAGGGTGTTGTGGGTTTGAGGGGTAGTTTGGCTGGGGACAGGTGGGGGAATTGCTGTTATTTTACTCCTCAAAGTATCTGTGGGCACAAAAATGAAATATTTTTTATCAGGTTACAAGTGCATAAAAATGTCCAGGGTAATCAATCTCTATAATCCACCTGTCAGAGTTTCACTCACACACACACACACACACAGCCATTAAGTAGAGTTTCCAGGCACAGCAATACGCAACCTTTAAAAGAGATGCTACAGCCAGGACAAACATTACTTGCCTGTTCACCAAGGAAGTCTTTGCACTAAAGTTGAAGGAAGTTTTTTCCCCTCTGCTTGCATCACCAGTGCTGAGGGGGATGCATGCACAGGTTTTGTGTAGCTCACAGGACAGTGGTACACTACAGAGGCTTGTGAAGCAGGACACTAAGGACTATAATACCACTTGTTACACCGCTAGAGAATCCTTTGCTTTCCATTCCCCATAAGTAAAATACTTTAATTCTAGAGGGCATTTGCAGAATTTTCATAATTCTGTTGACATTTTATCTAAATTTTCCCATATTTCTTAAAGGACCCAGGGTGAAATTGCTGAATTTTGTTTCGTAGTTAAGATTTGAATTTAGAAAATGGAGCAGAGGAGGGTGAGGGAAGAGGGAAAACTGGACTCTTTCTGTTATATTTCTTCGGCAGTTTTAAAACCTTAGAGAATTGGTATAGCTCTTTGAACTTTGGCATATACATTATCCCCAACCACAATCATGACTTTGGGTTTTCTGTGTAGTTAAAGTTTTCAAGAGAAATATGAAATGTGAAATATAAGAGTACAGCAGTACCTAGTACTATTTATCCAACAGTTTCACCTATCTCTATGAGATCCTAATCACAAAACCCTCAGTAGCCCTCATAATCCTAATCATACATAACCCTCAGTATTTGTGCAAAAGCAGAATTTCTTTTTAATTGCTGATTTTCCAGCTTTCCACAGCCATGGCTCACATTAAGTCCCACAGGAAGGTGGGAACCATTCCCTCTATCTCTTTGCATGTGCTTGCAGCCCTCATGCATAAGAAGGCTGAGCAGATACTGTTCATTAAGAGATATGTCCACATGGGATGCAAACCATGAGGGGAAGCCTTGGAGCAGATATGGGCCCTTCTGTGTTTGTTGACTGTGAAAAATAACAATACTGCTGGAACCATTTCTGTGACTCAGGGTTCAGTTTTAACAGAGATGAGCTGTTGGTGTCACTCCTATTTTAAGATGGAGGTGAGAATTTTGATAGGCAAGAAGGCAGAAACAAAGAGGGACCACAGAGGTGAGCTTGTAAGGTCAGTAATAGTGCTGGTTGGAAGCAGAGAAATAAAATCATCAGAGATTCAGCAGGGGGGAAAAGCAGAAAACCATCACTGACTTGTCAAGCTCTGAAAACCTTATGAGAGGAAGCAGAGAAGAGGCAGGCAGTGCATCAACAGGACTGAGCATCTGCATGTTCTAAGGAGAAACAAAGGTTGACACTTCTCTGCTTGATTGACAGCACCTTGGCCAGCAGAGACTCACAAGGTGGCTGCCCCATGGATACTGAGCATATGAATGCTTAGCCTAATAATGTTAGTCCTGGCCTATTGCTGTGTGTGTTAGCAATAAATAAGACTATTTTTATATATGGACAGTCCTGTTTTTGGGCCTCTATGCCAGTAAAAGATGCTCAAAACATCAAGAGTTACATTTAATGTGATCTGCTTTATTGTGCAGACTGCAGTACTGGCCTCAATTAATTCCTCCTTGAATTAGAGCATATCTGTTTGGAAAACAAAAATCCAGCTTTATTCTCTTTTGATTGAAAAGTTTTACAGTGGTGTATACCCTATTGTAGCCCTTGGGAAATAATTCCACTTTCATTATCCTGAATGTTAAAAATATGCATGTCAGTTTTATTCTGATTTTGACTGGTTTCAACTTCCAGGCACAGAATGTTGTTACATATCTGCTAAATTGAAAAGACCACATATTATCAGGTTTCTGCACCCTGTTTGAATGGTGATTAAATAAGTCTTTCGCCTTCTCCGTGACATGCTAACCACCCTTTGCCACTTCAGTCTGTACCCAAGCTGTGTGCCCCAAGCCCATCATGATCCTGAATGGATACTTTCTGAATGCTCATCAGTGCTTCAACACCCTGAAACACAGTATTGCAGAGATCATGCCACTACAAAACACAGGGAAGATGCATGAGTGGCAGGAGAAACAGTGACTCCTGTCCATAAAATCATAAAATCATTAAGGTTGGAAAAGACCTGCGGGATCATCACATCCAGCTGTTAATCCAGCATCAACACCATGTTCACCATTAAACCATGTCCTCAAATGCCCTACACACTTGCTTTGTTTACGCTTTCGGGGATGGTGATTACAACCACTTCCTTGGGCAGCTTGTTCCAATGCTTTGCATCTTTTCCCACCAAAACAAAAAAAAAAGTAATATTTAAACGGAACCTCCCCTGGTACAACTTAAAGCTATTTCATCCTGTCACTTTTTACTTGATCCCCAGCTCACTACAGCCTCCTTTCAGGCAGTTGTAGTGAGTGAGAAGGTCATCCTGGCCTCCTTTTCTCCAGGCTAAACACCTCCACCTCCCTCAGCTGCTCCTCACAGGACTCGTGCTCCAGAGCCTTCCCCAGCTCTGTTTCCATTATCTGGACACACTCCAGCCCTTCAATGTCTTTCTTGTGGTGAGGACCCCAAAACTGAGCACAGGATTTCAGGTGTGGCCTCACCAGTGCTGTGTATAGGGGGAAATTCACTGCCCTGGTCCTGTTGGCCACACTATTGCTGATACAGGCCAGGATGCCACTGGCTTTTGGCCACCTGAGCACATGCTGGCTCATGTTTAGCCAGGTGTCAAATAGCACCCCCAGGTCTTTTCAACTGGGCAGCTTTCCAGCCACTGTCCCCAGGCCTGTAGCCTTTTATCATCATAGAGTTCTTTACCAAGAGATTCTATGACAGTCTGTAATGCAGTTATGTTTCTATTCATGTAGTTGATAAACGTGTTTGATAGCAAAGTGACAAAAAAAAATTTTTAGGGTAGCTCAACCCAAGTCTCACCTCCTTGACAGGTGCCACTCTGCTTTGACTTTTCTGGATAGACTCTCATAGTAGGCAGAGCTCTTCTTACCTTGCCACCAGCTGAAGCAAACCTGGAGCCATGACAGGCAGGCAATGCAATCACTGCCCTGCAAGCCAGGTGATGTCCTGCCCATCTCTCAGACTAGACCAGCCCAGCTGGATCTGGTTCTTCTTACCTTTTTGATGCTGCTCCTCAAACCCTTATACTGAAATAGGGCCAAGAACTGATCCTTGGCGACTGGCATTCAAAACTTAGTGACTCCTGCTGCTCTTGTGTTTACTGGTGCCAACAGGCTCACTTTAAGGTTGCTAGCTTACGTTTATGGGCAAATGGTGACTTTAATGCTTCCTGACTTCCTACTGCTTGTTCTTCCATGTTGTTATGGCAGCTGTCATAAAACCAGAATGATAGATAAATGTGAAAATCAGCCCTATAAAGCAGCAAGCAATGTAGAAGACAATGAAGCGCAGGGGATTACATGCATCTCATATTGGGAATACATTGCATTAACTAAATACAAACATACATTTTCCTCTGTTTTGTCTTTTGGAATGAGAATGAGGGGGACAAAACAACAGCACAGGGATACCCCGGTGAAACTTCACTGAAGTCAGTACAGTTGCACACCAGGGATGCATTTGGCTGATTCTTTTGCTAACGGCTGTATGAAAGCCTTAATATAGAGTTTCTGCATGTGTGAAGTGTATGCCAAGACAAACGCAATGTGCTAAATGAAACCTCTTGATTTATTTAAATAAAAAAATGTTACCAAAAAACAGTGGATAATTGTAGTGGAATGGATCCAGACTGGAATCATCTGTCTCGTGTCTCCAGAGTGTCTGAGGGAGGGGCTCTATCTTGCTTGTATACCTAAGCAATGTAGGATATGCAGATAGCAGATAATTTCTTGAAACTGCTAAGATCCATCAAGGGACTCAGAGCTCTCTAGAAGACAAAGGTTATAATCAGATGTAAACCAGCTCTTTTGGCTGCAGCTGATATGAACTAAGAGATTATCAAACACAGCCCGTTTTCATCAGTTATCTTCTTTATAGGCACTTGCCTCCTTCTCCCCTTGAGTTCAGAACTGCTGCCAGTATGATCATCACTCCCTGCCTGGCCAGAATGATCAAATTACAAAAAAAAAATTACTATCAAAAGTGTCAAGGATAAACAAGCACAGTTTGCCTTAACTGGGTCGGACTACAATCCTGGAGATGTGCTGTGGGCAAGGTAGCCAACATTCATGCCTCGGGCTGGGCTAGAAGAGGCAGTGTCTTGGTGTGGATCAGCAGCAGCCCAATCAGCATCCCTGAGCACCTGAAGTCTTACTGCAGTGTTGGAATACCATGGACTTTCTCCTTACAATGCCTGATTGCCTGCTAACTGTGGAGGAAGCTACAGCCCAGCACTGGCCTTCCTTCTGCCTGTGCTGACCTACTAAACCCTTTAAACCAGGTAACTGTTGAGCTGTTCATCAGAAACCCACCTCGCATCAGAAGTTTGGTGGGTTTCTCAAGCTCTGCATTTCCCCTATGTTTAAGAGCTGGTATTAAAGCCCAGCCAAGCAGGGGCTCCCAGAGCACACCTAAATTCCACTTGAGGGCTAGTGCTGGGAAGAGGGAAGGGGAGAAGAGATTGTGTACCTGATATCTTCAGCTATGAGAGACCCAGTTTTGAAGGAATGCCATAACCTAGTGCTCCCATGTGCGCTGTTGGAAATGGGGCAATGAAGCTTCCTCAAGACATGAAGCTGTTCTACTTAGCATGAAATAATTATGCAAATGCCTCTAGGACCACGTCAGGGCAATCATAAAAGCTAATGCCCATATTAATCAGTGCATCAGGTACAAGGAGTGAGGAGTGCGGCTCCCAAGAAGGAGCACAATGGAATAGAAACCCTCAGCAAAGTACTCAGCCAAAGTGGCTCGCTGTTAGGGATAACAAGGCAACTTCATGCCTACATATGCACCCACAGCCGGTGGCAGACTATTTTAGCTTTAAGGGACGATCTGTGTTAGGAGGCAACCAGCAAGAGGAGAGTGGGAAACTAGATAGGAGCTAAAGCACTCCAGGAAATTCCATCGAATCCCTGGATAGACGTTGTCTCACATGTTGAGAAGTGTGATGGTGCAGTACTGGAGGAGTTATCTCGGTTACATGAGTATTTCAGTATTGCTGTCTTTGGTGAAAATACCTGTTAGAAGAGCAAGATGGAGTGACAGTGCTTGCATAAATTTATTGGGATGGAAAAATACTAAAATATGGTTCAGAGAAAGAATTAAAGGTGAGATTTTCAAAACTAGTTTTTGAAAGTTGGCACTCAAATCTCTCTCACTTCTAGTGGGAAAAGGGTATCTTAATTGGACAACTTTGAAAATGCCTCCTTTTTCAAAGGGACATAAATTCCTTTTAATTAGTTTGTATTCTTCAGCTGTTTAAGCACTTCAGAAAATGTCACCATGAGTCAACTAAGATGCACTAATCAATTACATCAGTGAGTTTAACATTAGCATCCCAATATTAAATTATCCTTCAACATTTATTATATGGTTTCTAAAAGAAGTTGTTTCCTATAAGACTGGATTGTATGAAAAATAGTGCTTCCAAATCCAAGTGCCTAGGGGCAGTATAAATATCCTAACTCTGACATCCTGAAGTTTGAATACTGACATGTGAAATCGTAATGGTCTTTCACAGCCTCATCCAGGGTCCACAGAAGTCAGACAGAAAATTTCTGATGACTCATGCAAGTCCTGTCTCAGGCTTTTAATACAGCTTTTTCCACCCTATTTAATGCCTGACCTCATATAGCTTTGTTCCTGTAACAAAAATCCTAGGGAATCTCATTCTGTCTGGAACCTGATTTATGTCTGATTTCTTGGAAATGTCAAGGTAGTTTGCTGGCATGGTTGAACTAAGAACAAAGTCTAAAGGATGGTGAATATTGAGATTCTTTAAAAGAATACACTCTCAAGCAAGAATTTTTTTTTGATTATGCCATACATTAGGTTTTGGCTAATACTAAACAATTCTGATGAGAGAATGAGAGCTACCTGTTCCAGTTAAAGTTTGTGCGATATAAGCATCATGCTAATCTTAAAATATCAAGTAAGAGTGGTGCAGAATGGGGCCTGTAATAGCTCCTGATGTTGGGAACCCATCCTGCAACAGGAGGGGACACCACTGCAGTTCAGCAGTCAAAGTGCTGGACTTCGCCCTTGCAGCTGCATACTTCACTCCTGGCCTACAAACCACATTGTATGAATTACTACAACTCTGCCAGCCTGAATTTCCCTCTGTTTAAAGGGAGAAAATGTTAATTTTGTTTCACAAAGCTCTATGGTAGGTGATTGTTTTGTTTGATTAGGACCAGCTCGCTAATTATTACTCAGACAGCAAGAAAAATTCAAAGAAGTGAGAATTTTTTAGACAGTGCCATTAATTTTGTTTATGGTATGTTTTGCATTGGTAGTGTAACAAACTGAAAAACCACAGCTCCCTTTGAACCTCACTTTCCTCCTTCACACAGAGTTTTTCAATTTCACAGCACAAAACTGATTCTGGAGGGGGGCGGGCAGAGGGGAGAAGAGAAGTGATGATTTTGGCAGCGACACCGTTATGATTTGCTAAAATAGCAGCTTGGCAAATCTGGTTTCTCAAATATCTCATGTTTTGTTAATTACTGGCAGCTTTGTTTTTAACTGAACGTGAAACAATGTGGAGAAATGGGCAAGCATGGCCCCTGACTCACCGCTGCCCGGCTAAGCTCGGTAGGTGGGAGCAAGCTGTCTCCAAGAAGGGGCCCGAGCAGTAATTGCTGCCTCAGTTCATGAGGTTCAGCAGATAGACACAAGGGGAGAGTTCCTGGAACCCAGATATGAGGTGCCCAAAAGGAACTCTTCCCACCCCACGCTCACTGGGCCAGTAAGAGATTAGAAATCTTGCCAAAAAGGAATGTAAAGCAGGCCGGAGAGGTGCTCCCTTCCCCAGACACGGTTTAATCTGGGTAACAACGAGGCACGGGATGACATGGGGGAACTGCTGGCTTCAGTTCTGTCCCATGTGGAGAACTGGGAGGGATCTGGCTCCTCTAGGCCACCAGGGGCTGGAAGTATTCCTGCAGGAGCCAGGGTTTCCCTGGAAATGCATCTTCAGGGGTAGGTGGAGCCCAGTCACTTTACCCATGTTTGCTTCAGACTAGGGACCACATCCCATGAAAAGCAGCAAAGTGTGAGACTTCAGGATGTCTGAAGTAAGTAAGTGCAAAATGGGCCAGAGTAGACACTCCTCTTGCAGTTCATGTGTCAGCATGTCCTGGCCACCTAAAAGTTCATGTGGAGCATATCTCCACATACATTCATTCCCACAAAACCTGAAGGATGCTCAGTGTTCCAACACAGGGCATGCAAACAGCGTGGACTCCCTGGGCAAGCTCGAGGGATGCACTCTGCCCTGGGATCTCTCGGGCACAAATGTGGGAGCTTTGTATGAGCAGGAGCTTGCTCTGCAGGTCCTGCCCTCCCTGCTCCTATCCCAGTGAGCATGATGGATTCTGGTACCAGAATATGGGGAAATTCAAAGATGTAGAAAACGGAAAAAGTTCAAATCTAATGCAAGACAGATTATTTCTGCCTGCATGCATGTAATGAATCTCTTCTCTGCTCCAGGAAATCTCAGGGGCCAAGAACATAGCAGAATTTTTTTTCAAAGGCCTGAAATGTAATGTTATAACAAAAATATCCAGCCAGGTTAATAAATTTTACAAAAGCAGAAAAACCACTTCATCTTCATGGTTTATACCCATTTCTAATGAGTGGAGACCAGGACGAAAATATTACAAGGGGAACAAGGATTCCTAAAGATGCCTGTGTGATGACAAGATGCTGTAGCAGCAAGACTGCTGGCCATGTAAAGCTATTCATGCATAACTGTGCTCCTAATGATCCTGTGGCAATTTGTTTTTTGACCTATGTTTATTGTATGGGGTAAATGTCACATCCTCTTTTTGTTTCTTTATTAGCACAGCTCATCAGGCTCTCTCTGTGTGTGTGTGTGTGTGTTTGTATATGCACAACACATAGACATAATTACACCTAAGTCCTTTGGTGTCACTTTTCCCGGAGCAGACTAACACTTTGCATATTAAATGAATTTTTATAGAAATAATGCTACAGAGGTAATTTTTTCCTACCATTTTTTCCCCCTTTACTAATACATAAGAGAA